TGTCTTCACTTGATTCACTAATCGAGTGATTATTATTGTGAAATCATTGATCGTCTCATTTTCTTCCATTTGAATCAATTCAAGTTGACGCTTGTGAGTTTTTAACCTCACCACCTTCGCCTTATCATCCCCTGCGTATGACTTCTCTAAGATTTCTCACGCTTGCTATAATGATTCACAATCACCAACTTTCTCAAAATTGTCACCATCCACACATTGATGGATAAAAAACAACAACTTGAAATCTTTCTTCTTCTCTTCCTTATGTGTTACTCGTTGTGCATTCGTCGCACCTTGGACAAGAGGATTCACCCCGTTCTTGATCACTTCAAGAACATCTTGGCAGCCAAATAACACTTTTTTGTTTGCACAATTTGTCGTAATTCTTCGCATCAAGGATGAGTAAGTTTGTATGGAATCTTTCATTGGGACAAAATTCATGTTGCACACTAGGTGTTTGTAGATCAGAACCAGACTCTTGATGCCAAATAGTAGAACTTGAAACCCCAAGTTTGGTGAATAATGGAGAAATTAGAGTGTGGAGAGGGAGAGAAGAATTGAGAGAGAGAGAGAAAGAGAGAGAAGAATTGAGAGAGAGAGAGAGAGAGAGAGAGAGAGAGAGAGATAGAGGAATTAATTAAGGGTGAGAATATTCCCGTTCTATTTCATTAACCATAACAATGATACCTCAAGGATATTAATACAAGTGATTGAGATACAAAAAAATAAATCAAACTATAAAAAAGTCAAAACTCGGACCTGTAATCGGTTACATAAAATTTGTAACAGATTACAGTTGCTAAACTAGAAATTGACTAACAGTGGTAACCGGTTACTATGAATGTGTAACCGATTACACCAACTCCATAAACACTTTTCTTTAGCTTATATGACTTATTTTCACACCTATAAATGATTACACACCCATGTTAACCGGTTACAACACTTGAATTACTCAAAAACTCTTAATACAATTGTCCATTCAAAGGCATATCCACAAAAGGGTTGAGAGTTTAATACAGTTATAACTATTGGATCCTTATTTGATCCATTTTACAGGAGAGCTACCCATGGTAGATATGATCTAACGAACCTCCACGTTTCATACTAGGAAATGCGGGGTGGGTATAACCGTCTCTCATATAGAACATATCTCTCGACAAATCTACATGTAGGTTTTTAACCATATCTTGCTTCATTATTTAGATTTATTAACTAACTTCAAAGTTAAAATACTAACATTGCGAATCCCTTTCATTCCACAACGTCAAAAGAGCCATCTCCACCATACAAATTTGTTTCACATCATAGATCCATGATTTCTAATTCCTTGAAAGAAACAACTAACGAGGAGCGTATAGTTAATTCTACTGTGATTAATTTTAGTTAATATTAAGTTAAAGATGAATAATTTTTTTTAAATAATAAACAAAATGAGTTGGACAATAAAAGAAACAAATTTTAGCTTATTATTATCTTCATATTTTTTCCATTATAATAACTTATAAATGTTGTAACATTGTTTGGTCTATTGCTTGTCAAATGAACATATTTAAGGAGGACTGTCCTTATCATGTCATGGACATATCCAGCTAAAATATTATGCTTTGCTAACTTTGCTTCAATCATCATGAAAAAGATGATAAATTGTGTGATATCCCACTTCAAGTATATGATTCCAATCTCATAAAGAAATTTGGAAATACCTCAAAAACAAGCCTATTAGCGAAAGACTATGACTATACCTAAAGATTCCATATTCAAGATTTAAGTGTCCTACTTCATGATCTTTCTTTACTATTATTAAACAAAAAGTGTCTACACCTCCTCTACATAGATTTTCATAAAGAAAAATCCAAACCTATTGTGATAACTTAATTAAATATCTCGTCTTTTTCTTTGTCACCTTTGGCTCTCTTGAGGTATGGAGAACTTATAAACACACAACTATTTGATCTCATTCGAAGAAGTCGGGGGCAATATTATGTTAAATTTAATATTTTGCGTATTTATAATTGATGTGATGTCCAATGGTTTACACTTGAACCTAGCATGTTGGCCTATGATGTTGATGTGTCAGAATCGTGTATGTGTACAATCTGAAGTATAAATATTATACAATTTATATGAATGCAAAATTGTTAATGTTGTTTTTATTTATGAAAAAAATAAAAGGGAAAGAGACCTCTTAATCAATCTATGATTAGACTTTTAATCTAAGATTTGCAAAAAAAAGAAAAAGCAGGATCATAATGATAAAGAAGTTGAACACTTAAAATTAAAGAAATGTTTGTCCAAAGGTGAATATGATAGGAAGAATATCTTTATAGAATGAGAATGATTAAAGTGCATCCAATTAACTGAATAAACAGAAAAATCAATATTGAAGTTTAGTGGTACATATTATTACTATATAAACACTTGTACAATATTTATTTTTTATGCAATGATCCTGACGATATGATTTGCATTCTAAGTCCGTTAATTGTACCTAAGAGTCGGTCTAAGAGATGCCAACGTTAAGTTTTAATAGCTTAACTTTTTATATCAGACACAACACTGACAAAAAATCAGTTATAAAAAGACATCTTGATTATGAAACTCAACTCAGTGATACTTAACCAACTTAACTACGCATAATTGTAAAATTGATACATAAACTCTTTATGTATTGTAGTGATTAGGAAGAATTACAAGTGAAGATAACCTTAATGATAATTAAAGGCAAAAATGGTGAGTTTAATTGGTAATTAAGATGTTGGATTAATAAGTAAGTAAGAGGGTAAAGGAAGTTAGATTCTCATTTGGATGTTTATGTATGAGACAAAGACTAGATGACAGATTGGTCTGTGATATGCAATCATCAAAGAGTGATTGAAGCCCACAAGAGACTAAAAGAGATAGCATGTGGGCCAATTATGTTTTATTTTCCTTATTTTTTCCTTTTAAAAGGATGAGTTAATTAGAAGATGAGAAATGTTACAAAAATAATAATAGAGACTCTCACTTTACATTGCACTTGATTTGACTATTCAGTCACCAAATAGATATTCTTAGATAATCATCCTTGTCATTTTTCATAATACATCATACTCCATTGATATACTTTTAGTGACTGAATGACACAGGTTGTTATTCCATGTGATGTTTGTTTTGTGTTTTTTGGTGTGAAAATGAAGGTTGATTAACATATATGGACCCTTTAAATTTGATTGTAGAATAATTTGAAAATATCAGAGGGATCATAATAAACATGGAACATAAAACATGTGATTGACAAATTATTACATAAGTATCTTTGTGAAAAAGCAATTGGGCTAGCTCAATGGGTCAAGAACTCTCATACATACTAAAATCAATTTTTGTGTGCTTCAACTCTGTTAAAAGTGGATTTAAACATGTACTGAAAATTTGTATGTGGACATCCCTATCCTAAGAGATCCTCTTGCGATCATAGGCGTGGATATGAGCTGAGATTTCGTGATAAGTTTATAAAAAATACACTCTCTTTTGAGTTATGTCAAAATTTAATATAGTATTGAATTCTATCTTTGAGGTATGAAAAACCAAAATCCTACATTAACTATAAATATGGTGTATTAACTGCATCTGAAATTTTTTAATATTAACCGTATTGACGGTCGAGATTATTTAAAGACTAACTTTGATATTATGCAATAAGTAGGATGGATTTGGTTTGAATAGATCCAAGAGTAATGAATGAGAATTGGTAGGTAAGAACATTTTAGTTACTTAGAGCAAAATGGTGTACATTGTATATGTGTGTCCTATTGCATTGTGTATTAAGTACTAGTTAGTAGTGAGGCAAGTTATGGGACCAGTCCTTTTCATGAATCCTGCCTGACCATGAGAGCTTCTGCCCAAAAGATCACTCACTACAATCAGATGGCCATAATTATCTGCAAATTCTGTCTCATTGTTAAAGGACATTTTGGTTATTTGTCTGATTGATAGACACCACAACTAGTCATCAAGATGCAACATGGGACCCCATCATTGGTACAATTTTCATGTGATGATTCTTTTACAGTCTTAGACAGCTCATTTATTGTCTCACTTTCTCACAAGCTAGGTTTCAATGCTTTTGTATTCTACTACTCCCTTTAACTTTTAATTAAGTGCTAATAACACTCTATAAGTAGAGTTTTTGATACATAACCCTTACTATCACTTACCTAGAACCTATAATAGGATTTGAGGGGACCAATTGTGATATAGAGAGGTAGGGTACGTAGCATTTAAGTAGAGGAGAGTACTAGAATTTGATAACATGACAAGAAGGACACATAAGCCTGACCAGTTGACAAGCCATATTTCATTTCATAGATGAATGAACAGCCGTATTTGGTGGATCATGTTCTTTGCATTGATACAAGTGAAAGCCAGAAAACACACATGGAGGAGGAGAAGATGCTATGGAAATAGATTCCCTTCCCTCACGCATATACATGCAATAATCAATCTCGACACTTCAATGCGAGTTTTTTTGTTACAAAAATTTATGTCACTTGAACTCTGAGTGTTTACTAGAGTAAGGACATTTCTCGAAGTTAAAAATATGTTTACCCAGGTACTACCAATCATACACAAAACTATTCATTGTTCTGATCTCAAATCAATTGTCAAAATTAAATCGGTATTGTCAAAATTAAATCGGTATTGATTATCACGATCAACTCTATGATACTTTGACTGCACGAAATTTGAGATTAAGATAGAATCTTTAAAGATTAATTTAAGCAAAATAAAGTACACTCATAAATGAAGAGATAAATAAATATTTGGAGAAACTTTCCTTCAAGTAGTACAAACAAGCTTAATGTCTACATTTTTCACTATTCATCTTGACCCTTCTAATATTGATATTCTTTCCCCAATCACTCACTACTACTTAACAACAAAGACCTTTTTTTTAAAGTTGAAAATAGAAATAATAATAATAATATTCAAAAATAAAAAAACAAAAAATAATAATAATACTAATTGTTCAAAATCCCAGCACAATGATAATGTTGAAGAAGCCTATTAGCTTCCCTAAGACCACTGAAATAAGCTCCATGAGTTGTTGAATAATGAGTTCTATGAGTTGCTTCTCCTGCAAACAAAATCTGAAGTGGATCATATGAAAAACTATTGTTATCATCTTTCATCTTCATTGGCAAAGGTTCCGCCATTGTATCCAAATCTTCGCCACTCGATCCAACCGCAACGTAACTGTATGATCCTAAAAACAAAGGATCTGTTCCCCATTTGCTCGTCAAAACTTTGCTTATTGATTTCGAATGAGGTGGTACAAAGTTTGAAACAGTTGATACAACGCCTTTCATAATCTCTTCGTCTTTGAGCGATTCAAGCGCCAATGCTTCTTCGCCAGCAAACCACGACAAAAGAACACTTGAATCGTTGTAAATAGGAAAAAGTGTCGAGGTTTTTCTCATCCACCACGGTATTTTCTTGTCCCGTGTTTCGTTTTGAGGCGAATGAAACACCATTTGAAGAAAAGGAAATGAGCCTTTTGAAGAAACATCATGTTTTGTAGTTGTTGAATTACTCAATTGCATAAACAACTTGTTAACAACACCAAAACCAAGCCGCGAAATCGCTTCAACTTTTGAATTCGGAAGCTTAGGACAGAATAACATACCTTTAACATCGTCATCATCAACATCATCGTCATCGTCATCATCATGAGAAATCGAAGCTTTTAAAACTCCGAGTGAAACAGTAACAATAACATGATCTGCATACATAACAGATCCATCACAGAGATGTAGCTTAACTGGCCTAAAAAAATTATTTCTCTCATAATCATAATCATGTTCCGGGCACAATTTCTGCGGCTGCCATTCAATTTTTCGGACTTTTCTACCTAATTGAACCAAACCAGGTGGTAAAACAGAAGCTATAGAATCAATTATACTCAAATAGCCCTTAGCAATTGTGATTTCTTCACCTGGAAACATTCTATACTCACTTTCAGCTTCATAATCCAAACACTCCAAATCACCGGCCGATGTATAAGTCCTTTCCGTATTCTCATACATTGAGAAAATCGCTTCTTCCAGCGACTTCTTGTTCCAATCATTATTCTCATTAACTTCATCTCCTTCTTTCACCGACTCGAAATAAGCCTCAAGACCTTGTCTCAAGAAAGAACCAATACTAAGATTCTTCTTCGAGCCAAAGCTCGAAGAAGAAGCTTTAGCAGCCATGTTATAGTAACTTAAAACCTCACCTTTCGCAGTCTCTTTAGTTAACTTCCCTTGCGAATACTCCATGAGGCTCTTGAAAAGCTTTGAAACAGGCTCAACAATGGAAGGCTGAAGATGAAAACCCCCTTCAGCAACTGTAACAACGGATTCGTCGTTGTTGTTTCCGTCCATGCACTCCCAAGGTTGTTCGGAATGAAGCGAATTCGTTTCCAGAGCTATTTTGTGAATTGGACTATTACCAATTCCATGGATCCATGTAGCTCCCATCTCGATTCTGTCACCGCCGAATTCAGACGTGTTGATTCTCCCGCCGATTCTTGTTCCGCCTTCGACGATACAAAGCTCGAATAAGTCCTTTGAAGCTGTTGAAGTGTAGAGCTTGTTTGCGGCTGTTAGGCCCGCCATTCCGGCTCCAATTATCACAATCTTTGGTTTTTTCACCACCATTGTTGATTTTGCTTTTGCTGCAAGTTTGTTTTGTGTATGATTAAACTTCAATTCTATTTCAATATACAAGATGATATAACATAGAAGAAAAGTGGTGAAATTGAATAGAATAGAAAGGGGGTGTGTGAAGAAGTGTGAAGGTGAGATTTGAGTTACTGACAATGAATTTATAACTTGTTTCTGCTTTGTGAAATATATGGTTTTTTTTAATTGGAACTTATAATAATTATTTTTTTTTTTGGAATAAAGTGTGAGACCAACTTGGTCCTTTATTGTAAATAATTATAAGCAGGACAAAAATATTAAATACTGCAAGGGTAAATAAATAAATAAAACAGTAATAGTATTCAATGTAACTTATTACATCAGTAAGACCACACAAGTTATTATATCATTAAAACCAAACAAGGAGTTACTAAATCAATTAATTATAAATATATTAATTTTATAAAATTGATTTTGATAAAAAATAATTAAAAGTAACTTGATTTATATTTTAATAAATTATTGTAAAAAAGAATTGAATAATAAGTTTTAATATAAAAATTTAATTTAATTTTTTTATTAAAAATAAAATTCATTCATTCAAATAGATGGAATATATCGAATAACACAAATTCAAAATGGTTCTACGTTGAAAAGAATAAATCTGCGACTAAACACAACATCCACGTTAATAGTATATAACGACAATGTTAAAATTATTGATTGAATATGCACTACGTCGAAACTAATACACCAATCTGAGCGGAACAAACTAAGAGGAAAAATAACCACATTAAAACAGCGACTAACACAATATTGCATAAAAACAACGAAATCACGAAAAAAAAACTAAAAATATATATGAAATCATTTAAATAAAAAGGAAAGAAAAAAAATTTTAAAAAAAATTTTAAATAAAAAAAATTGACTCTAATGGACGAATGAAAAAAAATTAAAGTTGAAAAAAAAGGGAGGCCACTTATATATTCGTAGAATCAATTTCAAAATTGATAATCAATTATATCACAAACTCTAAATTGATCACTCTTCTTTTAACTCTAAATAACTGAAACACACAATCAACACAAAAATTAATTCAATTAAAAAATTAAGTTGAAAATATGTAAAATTAATTTTCATAAAATATGAGGTAAAAATAAATTAAATAATTTTTTGCAAAATTAAATTGAAGAGTATATTTGTAAAAGAAAAACAAGTTTAAATTCCTATAGTATATAAATAATAGTCTCAAATAAAATCGATTTGAGTAACCATAATCCATTCTCCTCAAAACAACCAAAATGTCAAAATCAATTATAATTTAGAATCAACTCAAACATTTTATCACATACCCTAAACTCATCAGTCTCTTTTAGACCTAAAAAACACAACTACACACAATAAGACCAAAAATGATTCAATTGAAAAACTGAACTATACCCTACAACCATAAATGCCCACAACTTCCTAATAATTCACAGACAATCACTGAGCTACAAGAAGAGTGAATAGTGATGATGCCAATAACCTAGACCCAATTTCACATTGTTGTAATAAGAAGAAGAAAAAATGTGAGAAAAAAAAAGGTTGACAGTGCCTCTCACCAACCTCACATGTAAATTGAGATTTGGGACTCCCCACCAAAACAAGTCAATGGTCCTGATCAACTGATGGGCTGTCCTTACATGAGGTATATGGTGGAGACCATATCAATCTAGCCATTATAATATAAAGTTAAAGTTGTTGGATGATTCACCACTCAATTTTTTTTATATCATAGTACCAATTTTTAGGGTACCCCTATTCATTCGTACTTTTATAGCAGACATGTTCGAGTTTTCATTTTTTTCTCTCTCTCTCTGACAGATTTTGAAATATATGGCATTTTAATTTGAGTTTCTATATGTTTTTTATTCAATTTCTTTTTATAAAAATATAAATAGTGTTTGTTTTCATGAGGTCAACAAGCCTTTGTATTTTTGCATTTTTTTTATAAGATCGATGCCAAGCTGAGATGCTCGTAGAAATTTATTGTGTCATAAACATTGATCGATTTTAAATTATTTTTAAGGGTAAATTTATGATGATGCTAATAGCAGTCTAGACCACAACTGTGTTGTATATTAAAAAATAAAATTTACCGAGATATTGATATCTATTTTGTTTCATTTTTTAAATGTTTTTATAGGATTATATATTTTACTGACATATTATTTATATAGTTTATTAAAATTTAGATAAAAAATTATTTGAAATAATTTTTTATAAAGATTATTTTAAATATTTTATCTTTGCTATCTTTGCATGCAGGTTACAATTGATTAAAAGTTTCCTCTTTGCTATCACCAACTTCTGGATGTAATACATCCCTCTCCCTAAGAAGGTCATCAAGTAGGTGAATGTTGGATTTCAGTCGTTTCTTTGGTCTGGCATTGGTGATAAATATAGAAAATCCCAAATTACTTGGAAGAAAGTCTGCACTAGTAAGAATCATGAAGGGCTAAATGTCATTTATATTGAGGACTATATGAAGGCAAGTTTCTCCAACTATTGGTTTTGATGAAGACATCTTAGAAGAAAATTGTCATAGCAAAAGAATGGAAAAAAGCCTCATGTCAAAGCTAAAGCATTAAGCATCAACTTTCCAATTTTATTCAACTTATGAAGACTTACTTTGCATTTTTTGGTTGATCAATATTCTTGAGGTCCATGTTAGCAATTTCATTATGTTCATAGTTAAGTGCTCAAGAAAAATCATGGTAATCATTTCATATCGCATACATATTTTTAACATCTTTGAAACTTGGCTAAAACTCATTTTTTAATGTATTTTTCTTTTTCAAAGCAGGTGTAAACCATTCTTGGTAACCAGCTACACATACATGATTTTGAGTTCTTTGGCTGACATTGGCAGGTGTAACTAGTTACACCATTTCTGGTAACCGGTTACACATACGAAACTTTTAATTTTTTTACACCACTTCAAGTGTAATTGATTACACTCTTTCTGGTAACCAGTTACCACTGAAGCAATGGCAGTGGTTCGCTCCAAATCTAACTCTAACAAAATGATTTTTACATCCCTCAAGCATGGCATCTTTTCATGCATTCATAAGGTATCATGTTATAAATACTCTACTTGTTAGATTTTGAAAATTCACCTCTTTCAAATCAATTCAAACATACTCTTCATCTTATTTTTCAAACACAAGTGCATTGTGTCACACCCTAAATTTGTCTTTCCCTTTTTTTTATTTATATATTTTCGCATTTTTCGATTCTATTTTTAATTTTGCATTGCCAGCTTAATTTCATGCTGTTTAGACACGTGTCCACCCACGATTTGACGTTTTTCAAATCTCTGTTATTTTGTCCAATAAAAGCGTAACCCTGGCCTAAGGATGTTATTTTTGTAAATTTTAATTCCATTTTAGTTTCCTCGTTTTTTTTCTTTTCAAAATATTATTATTTTGTACATATTTTATTTCTATTTATTAATAGTACTAATAATTAGAATACAATTTTTATAGGAATTTATTTAGAAAATAGTTTAGAATAGAATTTTAATTAATTAGAATTAGTATTTATTTGAATTAATTAACTAGTTTAGAAGATAGACTTAATTAGAAGTAGATTTTGATTTAATTATTAGAATAGAAATAGATTTTTTAATAGACTAGAATTAGAATTAGAATTTTTTTTTAATTTAGAAATAGTTTTAGAAATTAGAAATAGATTTAAAATTTTTATTTAGAAAATAGGATTAGATTATTTAATTAATTAATTAGTTTAGAATAAGGTTTTTTATTATTAGAATTTTAGTTTAGGATTAGAATTAGATTTTTTTATATTATTATTATTATTATTAGAAATTAGAATAGATTTAACTAGTTAGAGTTTAGAAAATAGATTTAGAATTTATAGTTAGAATTAATTAGGATAGATTAGAATATTAAGTTAGTTTAGAATATGATTTATTTAATTAATCAGAAATTAAAAGAAAAGGCAGAAAACGACAAGTTGGATTTTTAATATAAGTGGAACTGTTCATCTTCTTCTAGCGAAAAAACCCTAGCCGCCCCTTTACTGTTCAGCTTCTTCTTCGCGGAAATAACCTAGTCGCCGCGGAAGGTCTTCCTCTCTCCCTTCGTCGACTTCAACCGTTTTCCTCCCCCTTTCCTCATCTTCTCCCTTCCTTCAAACCCGCCATCATCTTCCCCTTCGTTCACCTTCCACGACCCTCAATAACAACCCTCATTTCCTTCATTCAGCCGCAAACCTTCTGCACTCACAAACCTTGCTAAAATGTGGTACACGACCAACCCTGCGACCCATCAACACTACAGACCGCACCATAACCATCAAACCTCAAACAACTAACCTCTACCCACCATCTTCTTCGATTCATTTTTGCAAACCTACCACACCTTCTCCCGACCCAGATTCGCAAACCCACAAACCTTTTTTTAGATTCAAACCAACCCAGAAAACGAATGAGAAGAAGAAACTAAAACAGAATAGAAGAGATGAAGCATTTCGGAATCCAAACCGAAACAAGATCGAGAGGAGAGTGAGAGATTGAAACTGAGATGTCTGAAGGTCGTGTTTAGGATTTGAGCCACGATTTCTTTCAGATCTGTGAGAGTGGGCTGGAAACCCGCATTCTCTTGAGTTTTTCTTCTTCCATTAATGGTCGTCATTATGCTCAAGGAGAGAAGGACGTGGCTCTAAGTCTGAACATTTATTTTTAGTGACCTGGCTTTTGACCGTGTGCCCTTGTGTGTGTTCTCTCATGGATTTTTGTTTGTTGGTTGTGGGTTGTAGGCCCGTGTCATTTTCATTATACCCCCTTCCTCTTTGCATTGTATCACACATTTTTGTTTTTCTTATGGAGGGGTGATGGGCCTCAGGCCCATATGATCCTCTCCAACTCACACCCCCACCAAATTCTTAGTTTAACCTTTTTTTTTTATGTATGTAATATTTATTTTATAAATTAGTTGTTTTAGAATTGT